TATCCTTTACCACGAATAGACGACTCGCTGGACCGTATTCGCAATGCTCGTTACTTTTCTTCCCTGGATCTACACAGCGGCTATCGGCAAATATCTGTTGATGAGCGCGACCGCGAAAAGACCGCCTTCATTACTCCTGCGGTGCTCTACGAGTTCAAGGTCCTTCCATTCGGCTTATGCTCGGCACCAGCTACTTTTCAAAGAATGATGGACACGGTTCTTTCTGGGCTAAAATGGCAATCGTGTCTTGTCTACCTTGACGATGTGGTCGTCTTCTCGGACACGTTTGAGCAGCACGTCCAGCGCTTACAGGCAGTTCTTCAGGCAATTCGAACAGCTGGACTTTCTCTCAAACCTGAGAAATGCCACTTTGCATTCGAGGAACTGAAATTTCTTGGTCACGTCGTCATGCACGCCGGTATACACCCAGACCCTGAGAAAACGAAAGCTGTTGCCGCATTTCCTGTCCCAACGAACAAGCGCGACCTCCGCCGATTTCTGGGACTCTGTGCATATTACAGACGCTTCGTCAAAGGCTTTTCTAAAATCGCTGAACCGCTAAATGAACTTACGAAAGACGGCGTACTGTTTGTTTGGGGCCATGATCAGCATCACACCTTTGACACGCTACGAAACCATCTCCAAGCCCCACCTGTACTCGGTCATTTTAACGACAACGCTGCCACAGAGCTACACACGGATGCCAGCAACGTCGGACTTGGAGCTGTACTGGTTCAATGGCAAAATGGCATAGAGCGCGTGATTGCCTATGCAAGTCGAACACTATCATCTGCAGAGAAAAACTACTCTGCAACAGAAAAGGAATGTTGTTTGGGCTATAACAAAGTTTCGCCCTTATTTGTACGGCCGACCATTCAGGGTAGTTAGCGACCACCATTCTTTATGCTGGCTCGCCAACCTCAAAGACCCTTCCGGTCGTCTAGCACGCTGGAGCCTTCGGGTGCAAGAATTTGACGTTACAGTCATTCACAAGTCAGGACGCAAACGCACTGATGCTGACTGTCTCTCACGTGCACCAATTGGAAGTACGAACGCGGACGTTGAAGAGGACGATACATTCCTTTCCTCTGTGTCAGCAACCAACTTGGCTCAACAACAACGCGACGACATGGAGCTAAGCCCGCTGATTGACTACCTCGAAGGCCGAAAACGCAGCCTTCCTCGAAACTTCGCACGTTCGCTGGCCTCGTTCTGCATCAGGGATGGAGTCCTCTACAAGAAAAATTTCGACCATACCCAGGCTACTTACCTACTGGTTGCGCCGACCTCGCTTCGGGACGATATTTTACATGCTTGTCACGACGAACCATCATCCGGACACCTTGGCTACACGCGCACATTGGAAAGAATTCGCCGCTCATACTACTGGCCCCGCCTCGCAAAGACAGTCAAGCAGTACGTCCGCACATGCCGCGACTGCCAACGCCGTAAGACTCCACCTGTCCGACCAGCAGGACTACTACAGCCCATCGCCATGCCGAAGACACCATTCCATCAAATTGGCATTGACTTGCTCGGCTCATTTCCCACCTCTTTGTCTGGAAACCGGTGGATTGTGGTTGCCACCGATTATCTAACGCGTTACAGCGAAACAAAGGCCCTGCCCAAAGCTACCGCAGCCGAAATCGCACAGTTTTTTGTCACCAGCATCGTACTTCGTCACGGAGCGCCAGCTGTGATAATTACTGATCGTGGTACAGCTTTCACTGCAGAGATGCTTCAAGAAGTGCTGAGACTAAGTGGTACAGAACATCGGAAAACCACGGGTTATCACCCCCAAACAAATGGACTCACTGAACAGTTGAACAAGACAATTGCAGATATGCTGTCAATGTATGTGGCCGTTGATCACAAGAACTGGGATGATATACTCCCTTACGTAACTTTCGCTTACAATACGGCAGTCCAAGAGAGTACAGGTTTCACCCCATTTCGCTTAGTTCATGGTCGAGAGGTCACTACAATGCTCGATGCAATGCTCCTTTCCAACAACTTGAGCATGTTCAACACGGACGCTGCATTGTTCGCTCAACGCGCCGAGGAGGCCCGTCAACTCGCCCGATGCCGTATTCAGGCTCGCCAAACTGCCGACGCACACCGCTACAACCTTACACACCGAGGGGTTACCTTCCAACCAGGCGATGAAGTTTGGGTGTGGACTCCCATCCGACAGCGTGGTCACTCTGAGAAGTTGCTTCGGCGCTACTTCGGCCCTTACAAAGTTCTGCGCCGACTCAGTGACGTTACGTATGAAGTTCTCCCTGAGGGCACCTCAAGACGTTCCCGTCGGTTTCCACAAAGTGATGTGGTGCACGTGTCAAGACTCAAGCCATATTTCTCGCGTCATCCATCGAACGTGGACTAACTTACCATGCAATGACTATTTTTTTTGTCACTTTGGTTTTTTTTTATTGTCTTGTGTACTTACTCCTTTTTTTATTCAGTACTTCTACGACGCCAGCCCATTTTTTTCCCTTACGACGGAGTTGTTGGGTTCCATGATAGCATCTTTTCTTTCGCATTTTTTTTTCTCAATGCTCATTACCAGCATCGAGCCGATGCTTTTCGAGGAGAGGGAATAATGTCACAGGTAATGGGTATGAGCCATAAACTGTAGGTGGAATCCCTTGGAAGTGAAGAAAGAAGAGGGCTTTTGCGTCCTGGTCTGAGGGCAAGCAAGACGTCGTTTCGTCGCTGTCTGTTATTACGTTCGCGGCAATATATGTGTGGATGCTTACTTCGTCCGGTGTCGCGGTGCCGTGAGACCTAGTTTCTTCCAGCATTGTTAAAAGAGCTTCAAGAAAATGGGGCGTTTGAACACGCTCGACGGTACCGAGGACGATGCGTTTCGGGAGTGCAGTGGCAGCAGTCGTGATGATAATTCCCAATCTGACTTTGCGATCAGTGATTCCCGCTAGACCACGCGTGACTAGATCCGACAGGTTAAAGCAAGTTCTAATTCTTTGAAAATTAGCAAGTACACTTCCTTCGTGCTCTAATTTATTTATTCTTTTTTTTTTATTATATACTGTGCGCGTAACGACTGTGACACAATATTTTGTATGCGCTCGCGAAATCTCTGCATGATTTGCACGCCCCCTTCTCAGGGCCCCAAAAACGCAAAAAAAAAGTGCGCAAATTACGCGAGTAAATACGGTATTACGAGCTGGCAGCTTACCAACAATCCCTTGCATACTACTTGAAGGCATCACGTCTGCCAGTACAAGACCCTCGTTAATTAATCAAGGAAAGAAGTGTAAATTTAAGAACTCGTTTTCCTTGTACCATACAATATTATTGAGAAGTAACACGCACTGATGCCAAGGAAACTATATGGGACATTATTAGATGTAATTGTAATGTAATGTAAATGTGAAGAAAGAAAAGTGGGTGAAAATATTTGTTGCCACCAGCAGAATCCGAACCTGCGACTTTCGAATGATGTCACCAGTGCTCTACCACTGAGCTACGATGGCGGTCATTCCCCCATCCTGTTTATAAGGTTTATGTGCGTTTAAACATGGGAGGGCCAGTCATTGCCATTATGGTGAGTGTGAACACTCTGTTTGCCAGTTAGCACCACCTAGCATGTAATATTATTAAGAACTAGCAGCTCACCAATAATCCCTCGCATATACAAGCATTGAGATCATCATCATCAGCCTAACTATGTTCCTTGCAGGACAAAGGCCTCTCCCATGACCCGCCAGTCAACTCGGTCCTGCACTTGCTGCTGCCACTTTATAGGCGCAAACTTCCAAATCTCATCTGCCCACTTAACTTTCTGTCTCCCCTTTGTGTGTTTTCCTTCTCTTGGAATCCAGTCTGTGATCCTTACTGACCAGCGGTTATCTTGCCTTCAAGCTATGTGTCCTGCCCATTTCTTCTTCTTGATTTTGACTATAATGTTCCGATACACTCAGCTAGTCCCTGAGGGTTACACCTATCACTGCATCGAGATAACATGCAAATAAATCAAATGACAAAATATCTGTGGTGCAAGTGGGGACCAGGCATTCTACCTGGCAAGCAGGTGCTTTACCCCGAGGGCACACAAGTGCTTGGAACTGTGTCGAAAAAAACCTACACAGGAATGTGATTTAAAGAGACGAGAGTAAACACATTGTGTGGCATAAGCATGGAATTTCATGAAGCGTCAAAACATATGCAATGAGTGGGAGGCCACGACGAAACACCCAGGCCCCATAATTGTGGCCAGTGTGCATGCTAACGAACACGTAGTGGGCACATAGCCAATCGGCAAAAGGAGAAATCATGGTGTAGTGGGTGGTTATCAAAAATAGTTTGAAATGTTCCTTTCCTTACAATCCATCAACAAGCGAGGCCAAGCCGGCGACTGAGAAGGAGATGCAAACTGGGCCTGATTATAATACTGGCTTGTCCTCTTGAAGTCCAGAGGACCCAAGTTTTTCGTGAGATTTGTGGTGGTGTCCATAAAATTGGGGGGACTGCTCAAAACTAGTAAGTCTGCAGGGCAAAGCAGGAGAGTTGCAGGTATGCACATACCAATTTCATGACTTCTCCCGACTAAAATTCTAAACAATTATTTAGTAGGAAATGTGCGGCGTCGATTACTATGAAATATGTACCATTTTTCAATCATGCAGTACTGTCTTGATTGATGTTCTCGGTTGTTACGCACTGGTAAAAATGGTAGCAGTTATTAGAGAGCAAACATGGTTAGCTTACATCGAATTCAATGCTAATACAGCAAGATTAAGAAAAGAAGACACAGACTGGAGTGCGATTTTGATTCAGAAAATGTGTTAGGAGTTTCGTGCCTGCAGGGTACTAACTAGTCTGGCACCTTACAACTTAAGAAACTTCTGACATGCGAGCACACATGCCAGGCCTCAAGATTAAAGAACATTCAGTGGCTCAATGCCATTGCTACTGGCACTCAACTGAACAGGTAGAGGAAGCACATGTAGCAGTTCTCGAGCAACAAAATGCCTCACCTACTGGCCCTGCCTGGACAAACAGCTCCCACAGGATGGTGTCCGACACCTTCTCATCCAGGCCTCCCACATAAATGGTGGCATCTGAAAAAGCACCAACATATTCTTGAAATACCGCTGACCATACACGGGAAAGAAACTGTCGAAGACAAGCCTAAACGATGGCTTCCTTGATACATATTGCTCGGCAATCATGCTCTGTAAAAGAAGGACGTCACTCTGTGTGGAATTGCCAACACACGTGTTTCCGCTATTAGTGTGACAAGTATCCCTTCCTTCAAGATATGAAAGAAAGAAATTTTGCCGAGTCACTTTTCTCAGCTGCTCTACACTGGCCCATACTCTGATATCAGTGAACTGTCATGCACTTAAACAAAATAGAGCAGGACAGATGATACGCAGTTCTTGTACTTTACAAACACGCTTGTCAAGCAATGTCTGCCAGTGATAGTGCATGAAGCAAAATAATTGGACCAGCACGTTGGTCAAAAAATAGTCCAGCAGCCAAGGCACTGTTAAAACATCTCGAACTGCAAATATGCAACAATATCCTGGATGAAGAAGGTTAAACATGCAGACTCTCGGCATACTTGAATTTCCAGCCCCGCTTAAACGATGATTACAGCATATAAGCACATATTTCATGTCCTGAAGAACTGCTGAAACAAGAGAGTGTCCTGAAACTTTCAAGGCAGCTTCACACGAGGGTTGCCAAGCATGAAGGAAGTGCAGATTGGACAGCCTTTCTTGTTTCTCTTTAATTTTTCTCTCTTTATTTATTTCTTTCAGTCTCTTCATCCGTTTCTTTCCCCCTTGCGTTACATTAGTTTTTTTTTTTTGCTGCTGATGATCTTCATCCCGGCACACGAAGCACAAGAGAAGACCTCTCATAGACACACGCAACAAGTGACGAGGACAGCCTGGTCCCCTAAAGCGCTATAAGCACCACGCTTGTAAAGCTGCACGTGACAAAAACAATCGCTGGAGCGTCTTGACCTGACAAAAGGACTTGTCTTTTGCAGGGCAGACTTGTTCAGCCATGCGCCTCGCTAGTAAAACCTCGAAAGTGGACCCTCTTACCTTTAAGTCATCTGCATTGTTTGGACATAGGTGGGAGGCAGGTAATGCTCAACACATATCCTAATAGCAAAGATGCGACACTCAGACGTTAGTCGAAGGTCGCCAATTTCAAGGAACAGGTTGCATGCCATCGTCTCCCAGTCGTGGCACATAAGCACACTAATTCCTAAGTAGATGGCAAAATGTAAAAGTTGGTTAGTGCTGAAGATCCACCATATACGGTGTTTCTTGTAGTTGCGAGCCTCATCAGTGACGTATATTGTTCGAAGCAACACACAGGACATCAAAGCAGCCGCGCTCGACATGAATCACCACACAGTGTCCATCTAGCCCCCATGTTTTCTTGCATTTGCTTTTTATGGAGTGACGCCTGCAAGTGGGTTCACAACAGCACGAGCAAATCACATTACCTGTATTGGCACCAATAAACATATTTGCGCTCCAGCTAATTCATCTTTCGGCAGCATGAGCTGTATAGACCAGAACAAATTCTATGCATCATGCATTATTTGCAAGCGTGTTGTGCTATCTATTGCGAATGCGACCTCCGTGGACTTCGAAGGCAGAAGACGCTGCACGAAGCAAGTGCCAGACTTGCCAAACTTAGTCACCCGGAAAGCATTCTTCGCATTTTACAGCGAAAGCAGTTATGAGATCAAAACTCGAGTCAAGTGCGGCACCGTAGTTGTCAGCTGCCGCCGGTGTCCATAACCACTGTCGCACGAAATAAGAAAAAAAAAAAAACCTAGTACCAAGGACACAGTAGAGCTCAAACCCGGGTCCGCTGCGTGCCAGCCAAGTATTCTACCACTGAGCCACACTGGTGCTTGGGACTTGTTCGCAAACTTGCCTAGGGCCGGCTTGATGTCGAAAAAGGAATCACGTTAATATGAGTAATAAAGTGTTTTAGAGCAGGAAAAGAACAACCAGGCATCACACGATGCGAATAGTATAACGAGTGAATCGTCCAATGCTCCAACCTATCACAAAAGCTTGTTCTTGATCACCTGTTAACTGTGACGCATACTCACTTCAGGCATAATTCCTCATCGTCGTCAGCCACTGCATGAGCAATCGGCACAAAATTTCTTGCAAGTGTTTAGCCCCTACCACGCTTCTCAGAAGAATGACGAAAGATAGCATAGCGAATGCCGGCCTACTACACAGAAATGATTATTATTAATGCCGTAGTGGGTACCCAGCAAGTGTGCTTACAGCAGTTACGCAAAGAGTGTTTACAAAAGGCTTTAAAAGGCCGCTCTCCTAGCTTTCGCTATGATTGTGATGCGCCTTCTGCACAGGCTTGGCGTTTTTTTTTTCTAGCCTTTGCTGTTTTTATTCAAACATGAAAAAAGCCTCGCTCATGAGAGTCCACAACATACGCTGTACGAGCTGAGGAGGCTTTGGAAGCAAACTGGTGATGTAGATATGACTTTACATTTGTAAAGAAATGTCACTGTGGTACGTAAATTTTTAATTGCAGTGCAGCTCGCAAAAGAGAGGAACAATTGTTAGTTGCCACATATCTCAAATTGCACAAGGAATTTTGTGAAAACTCATCATTTCAACATGCATCGCATATTGAATAGAGTAAGCTTAGCGAGTAGTTTCACAAAACCCAATGTTTGTTTCACGAGCGATATTACAACAATGTGTCTTGCTATCAGAGAGTATCCCCAGTAGTATTGTTCATTGATCCCTTTTGCAAGTTATCTGCATGACTTTCATCCTGTAGTTACTGCTTTACAAGCATAACCGTGCTAACCTTAGTTAAACAGATATTGAAATGGAGGGAATCCCCCTGTGTTTTATTGAATGGGTGCTGCATTATTATGCTAAGAATTTTGCTGTTTCACCTAGTGCTTCACCTACATTTGCAACGTATAGGACGTTTTATATACCATTATATGCATTCTGTGCAGATGGATGTCTTGGCATCCAAATAAGTTTGGAGACATCAAACATTGGAATAGAGGCTTGTCATTCTAGCCAGCTGTTTAGAAACACTGTACTATTTACTGCTATTAAATATACTGCATTGAAAATGGTAAAGCATGGTGTTTGTTTGTACTTGAAAGCTTACACAACATTTTAGTCAACAAAAACACTGAAAGATACAAAGTGCACCCCACACTAAGCTTGCCTTCAAACCACGCCAACGAGGTTCGCAAACTGGAATTGGTGGTCATCATGCGTGCAGTTAGCGTGCTTACTCGCGCATTTTCGCTCATCTGCCAGTTTTTCTGTTTTAATTACAAGCTAAGAACACTACTGGCACGATTCTCATAGAGCATTGTGATCGTCGTAGGCTGCGCTATGTATTATCCTCCTGCTTCGCTGCTTGCTTTGGCATCCAAAGACGACAGCTCATACAAGCTCTTATAGGCGAACGAAGCGTGATCAGGTACTCATTTGCAGTTTAAATCGTCAGAGCTGAAGCTTGCCTTCTTTACTTGGCGCAACTCACGCACACCACGGCAACAATGGCAGTCCGACATCTGGGCTGGTCTGGGTGCAAGAGTATCTATCTGCTAGGTTTGCCAGCAACCAAGGTGCGAGATATGGAGGTGGGTTAACTTGAAAAATGAATTAATGACCAGTATACTCATGAGTAAAGCATTGTAATTTGCATAACTACACCACACCTGACGTCACCATATAACGAGTACATTTTATATTTTTTGTCTCGCGAAACACTACGAATCACGTGCACTACCAATTGGCACCAATCTCTATCAAAAGTGCCTGGTGTGACACAGTCACAGCAATGATCGTTTTATGGTGAGGTTGTGTGCGTAGACATAACATGTTTCCATGGCTGCTACAGGGGGCGGGTTTCACACTCCAGTTGAAAAGCTGAATTGCACAACTTCCATATTCAGCGGATCAGGGAGCTTTTCTCCCCGCCACAACATTTTCTGCTTGTACCAGATCTTTCATGCGACATCATTGAGCACTTTCATATAGTGGCTAGACATCGCCCTAAACCAGGGTGTCTATCAATTGGGTTTTTCCAAATTCCCTGACGAAATGACACGTGACCTCGAATGCCCTCGCTGAACATGTAGAATGTACAGGCCACCGAATTGACTGGTCAAGCATACTTGTTTTGTCTAAACATGCCTGCACCTACAATCTCTGCACACAGGAATTGCACACACGCTGAACAGGAGTGATGGGAAGCCTTCGACGATGCACTCTCGGTGCTACGTCACTTACTTAGCATACCTAAATACCTTGTGCCTTTTATAGAGCTTTTATTGCAAACAAAGCTACCATATTTGTTGCCGAAACGTCAGTAAACTCTTTGTTCTTTCAGTCAGTGTATCCTATCGCATTTACACTGAGAAGCAACAGTTATGCACTGCATTTCCTTATTTTTTTTCATGCCTCTTCTAGCTGTTCACTGTATTTGCAGTTGAAGGAGCGACATTTTTGGCTTTGATCAATGGGAATGAAATATTGGTGATGGTCACAAAGGCTACCCTCAGTTTCTATCTATGACCTGGCCAGGTTTTCAGAAATTCCACGATTTCTCCATAAGAGTCTGAATTCCCGGACTTTTCCAGGTTGAAAGACACCCTGCAAACACACCTGATGGAATGCGCCAGAAGTAATAGAGCAACAAACTCGAACACACCATGTAAACACCACCAGAATAAACGAAAAAGCATTACCGGAAGTGATTCATCGGATAATCTATTGGGCAGACCGTAACGGGGTGCGCCAGTTAATTTTTAAAGCTGGCTAGCGCCGTTATAGTCTGCGCGTCTGGATCGGATGACGATGCACAAACTGCAGGTGATATATGGATTCTGCATTTATTGATAATAGCAACAGTACTGAAAAAAAAAAAAAAAAAACTTGAAGCTGGTAGGCGGTTTCGGCTCAGCTCGGCCCAGAAGTAAGGAATCCTATCAAATTCGCGCGTTGCACCTCTAAAGGTAATCAGAAAATCACGATCGACAACACCGGTGGTTTATTTTTTTTTTTTGTCAGTTACTCAATACCTAACGGCAAACATCAACTAAAGTAAACTCGCACTTGAATGCGGCTTACTAACGACAGGAACATTAAAGTATCGGTTCAGCCTTTTGTACTAATGCGTTATAGTCACTTAAATAGCGATTTAGTCATTAAATCTAACCGAACATCTAAACGCATTCCCGACGCACCACAAGTCCACAGCAAAGAACAAGCATTACTAAAACGTTCAGCAAGAGAAGACAACTTTAGTCTGCACACTTGCGCACAAATAATGTTCACAAAATTAAACAACAAAGAGCAAGATCGGTGATACGGAAATTAGATGAACAAAACGCAGACCTTGATTTCGCTCGGCGATGGGGCCAGCGGCCATGTTGCAATAAAACGTGCTTTCAATGTCGATGCACAGTTGTCGAGAGATATTTTGCAAAATATTTTCTACGTTATTCCCGCTTTTATCTTAGGTGAAAGTTTGACACCTTCATTAATTGTCTATAATATTGATATTGCCGTTGAAATATACGAAAAAATCACGGTGCTCAGTGTTGCTCTGAGGGAGAGAGAGAGAAGTAAACGTTTATTTTGAAACAGTGCCCCGAGCCATAGCCTCCTCTATAACTTTGTGCCCGAGCGGTCGGTCCCTCAGCGCCGTCCCCCGAGCTGGATGGATGGATGGATGGATGCTATGAGCGTCCCCTTTATAACGGGGTGGTGACAAGTATGCCACCAGGCTCGACAAAAAAAAAAAAATCTTTTTTCCTTTTTTTTATGTTGGCCTAATGCCTCTACTTCGATAAATTCTATCTTAATGAAAAAAAGGTAAATTTTCAGCTTAAGTTCTCTGCCATTTACGGCACACTGTCCATATTTTATTTTTCCAATATTTATTTTTGTCCTTTCTCTCTAATTTTCTGCCACCAATACTCTAACCGTCTCTTACTTATTTCAATCGCGGGTGTGTTCAGCTTTCCATTGTTGTCCCTAAAACCCAAGGCTTCCTGTAGGTTCGTGCCCAAACGTACACCTGGGTGGATATCTCCACATTCAATCAGAACATGTTCCGCCGTTTCCTTATCTTTCCCGCAGCATGTGCATTGTTCTTCTTCTTTACTGAATCTTGCTTTATAACTACGCGTTCTAAGGCAACCCGATCTCGCTTCAAACAGTAAAGCGCTTCCCCTTGAATTATCGTAAAATGCCTCCCTCCTTATTTCATTTTTGCCCTTTCGGTAGTTACTCAAAGCCGGTTTTTTCTCCATAGCTGCCATCCAGTAAATCCTCTCCGCCTCCCTGACTTTTCCCTTAACGCTCTTTGTTGACATATGGCTCACAATACCAGCCGTATATTTACTAGTGAGTCTTCTAGTTCTTTTTCTCCACTGTGTGTCCACGCTCTTCCTATACAAATAACGGAACACCTTCTCTGCCCATCTACTCTCCTTCATATTTCTTAGCCTTTCTTCGAACCTTATTTTGCTCTGCGCTTCCCTCGCCTCAAAACCTGCCCACCCCATATCGCCCTTTACAGCCTCGTTTGTCGTCTTCCCGTGAGCACCCAACGCGAGGCGTCCCACAGTCCTTTGATTTACATCCATTCCCGATTGCACCTCTGCCCTCATGCACACCACTGAGTTCCCAAAAGTAAGCCCTGGAACCATTACACCCTTCCACAGACCTCGAAGCACCTCATACCTATTGTAGCTATTATGGGATGCGAGCGCTCCTGGCGGAGCGCCGAGGCGCAAAACGAGAGAATGGATGGCAGCTATGGAGAAAAAACCGGCTTTGAGTAACTACCGAAAGGGCAAAAATGAAATAAGGAGGGAGGCATTTTACGATAATTCAAGGGGAAGCGCTTTACTGTTTGAAGCGAGATCGGGTTGCCTTAGAACGCGTAGTTATAAAGCAAGATTCAGTAAAGAAGAAGAACAATGCACATGCTGCGGGAAAGATAAGGAAACGGCGGAGCATGTTCTGATTGAATGTGGAGATATCCACCCAGGTGTACTCCTGTATCCGTCAACTGAGCTCGTAATGGTTCTAAATTCTCTAAAGAATTACGCGGAAGTTTTCCTCGCAAGAGCGAGAAAGATGAATCAGCCACTGAAGGCTGCCGTTGACAACGCCGCGCAAATACTACAGAAACGTGACAAACTCAAGTGCTCGACCCCGGGACATCATAAAAAACTTTTGGAGGTTGTGCTCGTGAAGTTTCTCCGCCCACTTTTTCTGAACTTCGCGACGAGTGTGACTGACAAACACGACTTGGCAAAAGATTTTCATGTCAAACCATTGTCTCGAAAAGTGCTCAAGCTTTGAGCGCGAAATCAAATAACAAAGCTCACATTGCATTCTGCATACAGTGCTTGTGTTAAAAATTTGGTGTGTGCGCACTTCTTAACGTATACGCATAATCCAATGCAATGTAGACGGTTTCTAGACCGTCATAAACGCAAGCGTGCATAGGCCGCGTCGTCTGCTGTTATTATGGGATTGGTGCGGCATCTGGCGGCGAGCGCCAAAACTATAAGGGACGGATGGCGCGTATGTATTTAGCGCTAATGCGCGGGCACAAAAAAATATAGGAGGCTATGCCCGAGCAATGCCCGGTGTCACCACACATCCTCGAGGGCGTAGGTGTTTTGTGGGCGAGCTTCGCCTCCCACGTTTCGGTTAGGTCTTCGTTCGTCCCTTCTGCTTCGTTATCAGTCGTGTGTAGTTGCAGATTACGTCTGGCAATACACTGGCATGCAAGAAGTAAGTGCGCCAGGGTGTCCGGTACGTCATAGAGAAATAAAGGTCTTCCTCTTTCTCTATGGGTACGTTGCAAAGCTGGCACATAGAGCTATGAAACTCTCAAGTTCAAGTGCTCACCTGTAGAGGACGAACAAATCAACCGCGGCGCGTTTCTACTTCAAACACCCAAAGTGGATCTACTGACCTCTCTCGCCACTCGCGCTATTGCACTTTCTTGTAGAGGCTCCTTCGTCGGGGCCAAGTTTTATTTTAAAATGATCAAATACTGCATGTTTGCGTACCGCTACACATAAAAACATTTTGTTCTTCTAGCAAGTAGTTTTTCTTAAACATGTGCTGCGTCATCAACTTTTTGTAATAGTTTTTGCTCCAGCTGACTCGATGTCAGTGGCAGCCTATCGACATCATTATCCTCATTTCAAAGTTTGCGGCGGCTAACGGTTGTGACGGCAGGTAACGGCTCGCGGTACGTTCGGATGTGTCTCGGACTGTTTCGTTTCGCTGTCAATATTTCGAGGCTCTGCCGACCGACACATTCTTTCTCATTCTGTTTATTTTGACTCGTTCAAATGCTTTCGCGAAGAAAATTCGAGTGACTTTCGGGGAACGAAGCGACCGTTGAAGCTTTCATCGGATGAACACCCGTTGCAAGCCCGGGCCGGTGAGTAGAAACCCACTTCAGTTTTTTAAGGATGGCTGCTTGTGGGGCTAGTTGGTTCATTTCAACATATGTAGTTTTTTTTCGCCAATGACTGCGTAGGCGTCAAACGGGGGCAGCGCATTGCAGTATTAAATTTTAAAATTGTTGAACGTCTCAATCTGTAACAGGAAAAACGTGCGTTACTTGCGGCGTGCATGGCTTCACGTGGGAACGCGTCGCTGACTCAATAGCTAATTCTGAAATTCTATCACCAGGTCACACCAACCAGGCCGTTGCGATAAAAGAAGGCAAATAAATCACTGTCGCCTCGCATGTGTCTTCTCAGCTAGCCCATATATTGCAAAAAACCTACTAGTTAATAGTTTACTGCAGTCGCGTTTGAAAAACATCACATAATTATGGGTCTGATTTTGCTATAGTGTGACAAAGGAAGCGTCACATAAATGAGAAATACTTCTTTTTCTGCCACAGCCTCCTAGCCCACCTGACATGGAAGCAAATGTGTACAATGGGCAAGGAACCTGCTACACGACATGCCTTGTGAAGAAGCAGCCCTGAGTGATATACGTGTTATGAGGTACCACTACATATATGTATTAAATACTGCTTAACTGAGTTTATTTGTTTACTTTGGAAAATTTCATGCATTGATATCTGGTGATGTTACTTGTTTTTCCAGACTGCCATGCAATGACAGGATGACTACCTCCGAATGTCCACTCTGCAAGCATGTTGAAACATCTGAATGTCCACTACAACAGGTCATCTCTAACCTCACACATGTAATGCTGTTTTTGTGAATGTTTTACCGCGCATATCGTGGAGAGGTGCTTTAGATTGACTACAAGCATTGCCTGCCTACCGTGGCATGGAATCCACACTTCAATAATGTTGAAACTGTAACACTATTAGTTAGATTGTGTGGCGCTGCTGAGCTCAACAACACACTGTTTGATCCCAGCCACTGTAGCCATATTTCGATGGGGGTGAAACGCTAAGACGCTTGTGTGCTTAAGGGTTTGTTCGATTCACCTGCACCACATGATCCAATTTACCAAGTGCTGCACCTTGCCATTCGTTTCAGCGGCGCAGCAATGGCATCTTCTAAATCTTGCCATTCATTTCAAAAAACGCAGGAGAGGTACAGCACCAAAACTATACCATGACTTTCCTGTACCTTTTGCTCTGACGGCGCTGGTTAGGTGCAGCCGCTCGCACAGCTTAACAAACAACATAGCATTAGACGTAGGTGCTGTACCCACCTCTAAATGCAGCGTGTTTTGCCAAGATGTTTGCACCTCATTAAATTAAGCGAACAAAAATAAGGATTCCACCTTGTCGGCACCTTGTCGTTCACTTGTGATGCCGCACCGCTGAACTCCTGCCGCACAAGTTCTAAACTTCTCGTGCACAGCTGTGAACCAGTTCGGATTGGTGCAGGGGAACTAAACTGACCCTAAAAAGATGGAAGCTTGAAAATATGAAAAATATGTTAACATAAGGGGTCAAATCAAATGTTTCGACAAGTAAGCTCATCTCCTGTGAGGCTACAATGTCATTTGTTTGAATCCCTGGAAGCCAGAATCAATCTAAATTTGCCCACTACTGTACAACTCACGATCACATCATAGTTGGCATGTGAATCGTCGGAAATTATTATTTGCACTACATAATGAACACACCCACAGTGATGGGCATAAACAAGCTTTCCGACATTTAGTTGTGCCTTGTGACAGTTTGCAAACAACACCCAGAACTGTTTTGTCTTAATTAACTGTGTTTAGCTCATACAAGTTTACAAAAAGATGCACCAAAGCTCATAACACTGCACTCAATTGCTTTAGCTCTGCACATCTGTTCAATGGGCTCCTAAAGTAATAAATCATAAAGGTGATGAGCAGTTGCAGCACAGCTTCTTTAAAGACGTGGATGCTGTCATGAAGAGCAAGATTGTGTTCATTGCATGTGGTACT